AGCAGGGGGAGTGGCAGGCAGAGGGAGAAGCAGGCTCCCTGCTGAGCAAGGAGCCTGATGTGGGACTCAATCCCAGCACCCTGGGATCATGACCTGAGCCAAAGGCAGACGCTTAACTAACTGAGCCACCCACATGCCCCTAAGGGAGAATTTTCAAAGAGGTTACTGTAAAAGTATTTGTTTACATCTTAAACTACATGATCATGGGACATGAAAGAAAGGGACAGAGAGCCTTGAAAAACTGTTATAACTGACTGGATATAAGGGGAAGGGGGACCAAGGCATCCAAGATGATTCACATATTGAGCTGGAATGACTAGGAGAAAAGCAATACTAACAGAGAAACATGAAGACAGTTTTGTGAAGAAGATGAGTTTATTTTTAAACACACTGCACTTGAGGTCATGGCAGGACAGCAGACAGCTTGCAATCCTGAAATAAGAGTTGATAATTTTGATTTTGGGTCTATGTAGGACCCACTCCAAATGTCAAGAGTAAAGAAGTAGGAGGCAAAGTTGCTAGCAAAAAATTTGCCAGGATGTGACTGACTTACAATCAGAGAAGCAGAGCAATAAAATATAGGGTCTGCAAGATACACCTCTCTAATCTCAAAAAAATCTTCAAATATTTGACGCTGTGACTTCTATACACAGAAATGAAAACCCTCAATAGGGGCATTCAATTAATATTTACTTAATAGTTATAATATGCAGGGACGCCTGGGGGGCTCAGTCAGTTAAGTGTCTGCCTTTGGCTCAGACCCTGATCCCAGGGTCCTGGGATGGAGCCCCGAGGCAGGCTCCTTGCTCAGGGGGGAGTTGCCTTCTTCCTCTCCCTTTGCCCCTCCCCCTGCTCATGCTCTCTGTCCCTCTGCTCTCTCTCTCTCTCTCAAACAATAAAATCTTAAAAAAAATAGTTATAATATGTACTGAATCAGGCAATTAGGGAAACAATAAAAGAAACAACCTTATTTCAACACATTCATATAGTAATACCATTTTCCTTAATTCTTCAAAGCCACTTTTTCTCTTACATTCTTCAACTCTGTTAATGACCTTCAGCCTTCTAATGACTTGCGTTTCTAGCTTCATCTTTATCTCCTTTCTTTATCTCACTTTCCACAACTAGGTGTATCACCATTCCAATTGCCACCATCAAGTTCAAAAAGCTCTCATTATCTCAGTCTATTCAAAGTCTTCTAACTGCAACTTCCTAGAGAGATTTTCTGATCCTTGGAGTCCATTCTACATTCTACATTGACCCCATAACTCTCCTACTCAAAAGCATTTACTTTCTTGAAATTTGGGTAACTTTAAGTCTAAATCCTCTCCCTCCCACTTCCTTCTCCCACTTGTCTACCTCCCTTTCTTGCTTGGGTTGGGGGAGGGGGGTCCTACCTTGGACCTGCTTAGGGCTGCTTAGCTAGCATAATCCTTTTAAGGATTTTATGTATTTTATCTTAAAAGGATTATGCTAGCTAAGCACTCGAGACAAAAGAGATGAGTAAGACCATGGCTTTATTCTCAAAAGAATTGATTTGTACACAGTACGGAGAGTAGGTGACTGAGGGGCTAAAGCTAATAAAAAGTCAGGGAAACCATCTGGCCTCAAGGTAGGACCCCCCTCCCCCAACCCAAACAGTCCTCTATTAATGCATTTCCCATGCTGTTTTACAATGACTTGCTTACCTGTCGGTCTTCTTCACTCATTTATAATGGACTAGAAGTACGATTGTTACTAATAATAAGTAGCTTTTATTGAGTTCTTGCTCCCTGTCAAGAATTGCACTACACGCCTTGGAAGAATTCACATTTAATCCTCACAACAGTATTAGGAGCTAGTTACCATTACTATCCCTATTTCACACATAAGGAAACTGAGGCACAGAAAACCGTGTAAGGTCTCATAGTTGAACCAGAATGTAAACCTACTGCTCAGAGACAAGGATTATATATCTCGGTCTTATTTGTACCACGGTGCTTCAAATGTTGCCTGGCAACTGTAGGAATTCAATAAATGCTGAGATGAGCTGTGTAGATGGTACCACTTTACTTCCTGTGTATTTCTCTCAAGTGACCTATGCACTAACTAAACTGAACGTTTGTCCTGTATTTTATCACCTCTTTGCCTTTGCTATAATGTTTACTCATGCTATTTTTTCCATCTCCATTCATTGAAGGCCTACCTATTTTCAAGGCCACTGACACCTGCAGTGTATCAGATGCTATGCTGGCTATCAGGCATAGTATAGTGATTAATACTGATAATTAAGACAGAGCCCGTCACCATGGAGTTTAGAGTCTATTGGGGGAAAGACTATACATAAGTAAACAAATGTAAAAATTATCAAAAGGATGATGAAGAAAATAAGCAGGGTGTGGTGATACAGAATAAACATGGCAGGGATACTGAATTTAGATAAAGTGGTCAGGGAAGGCCTTTCTACACAGTCAACATTTACATGTGCAAATGTCCAGGACACTCAGAAATACTGAGTGGAACTGAGGCATGGTAGTAATAGTTATTGTTTGCACCACTTGTTTGATACTTACTTTATGCTGCCTTGTACTGTATGTTTCCTTGTAGGTCTCTATATCAGAGATTGGGTTAAGCTCCTTGAAGGCAAGGACTTTCTGGTATTTCACTATGCCTTATTAACACTTACCACAGCCCTTTCATATAGTATGTAACTGTTAGAGGTCTATTCTGTCTCTTCACATATATTATTTCTGTTATACTCCCCACAATCCTGTAAGGCAGGTATTATCTTTCCCATTTTACAGATGTGAAAACACAATCAGAGAGGATAAGGAACTTGCCTAAATTCAGAGTCAACACCATTTGCCTAATTCATAATTCAAATACAGGTCTGTGATCTCAAAATACCAACCTTTTTCACTATTCAGGTGTTACAAATTGATGGCTTGAAGGTGTATTTGATCTGTATAGCATTTTAATCTATTTTGAATTACCAACTAATTTTAAAATCTGGAGATATTACAGTTACATTCTGGATTCCCATTTTCTCTTGAAAATTCTGATGATCAAATAACATAGGGCCTACATTTCTGCATGGCAACAATTGGCTGGAGCTGACTAGTGACCTCCTCCAGATATCTTCCACTTTATATCCAGCCCACTTATCTATGTAGCCTGACTAGTGGTCCTCTGCAAAGACATGAGTTTATAAACCTTGCACCATTCTATGCTTTAATACAACAGTGTATTATTATTTAAGTACCAAGATGAGTTATATCTATAAATGTGAATAGGATTTTTTTTTTTTCCCCAGTGATTAACACAGGCTAGAGATAGGGTCATGCTCTCCTAGGACTTCAGTCGAGACCATGAAACATACAGGTGGACAAAAGAGGAAAAGGCATTACTAAGGGGAAATCATGGATAAATCTTAGAGTTGGGAATGAGCTTAGTTCTTTTTGGCAAGAGGCTCAGTTAAAGTTGAGACCTTATTATGGAGAGCCTTAAAGGCCAGGATGAAGGGTTTAAGGTTCTCTATAGTAGTTATTAGAAGCTTTTGCACAAAAGAACTTAACTCCTAAAATTGAACTTTTATATATGATAAATAGAATTATTTCATTTTACTTTTCCCAAAAGTGGGAACTACCAAGATAATGTCTACTTACTTTAAATGAACTTCAGTTTGGGAGTGTATTGCTTCTCCCAAAACATTTCCAGTTTCATCCACCACGGCAGCTGCTGTATCATCACAACTGGTTTCAATTCCTAATACTAGTTTATGAAGAAACAGTTTTCCAGGATGAAAATTAAAACTTCTTAAAAATTCATAAGGTTTCCTTCTTGATGGTTTAGAAAAAACTCCTGTTGTCTTATTCAGTATTAGCATACTTAACTCTACAGATAACTCCTAGAAAAGAAATGAAGAAACAAACTAATTATTTGGAACTGACATTAACCACTAACCCATTCATATGAGCAAAATTCCAAAAACTTGATTTATTTTGCAATATAATAGTTTTACAAAATTACAGGAAAGTTTTGTAAAAGCAAAAATTTCTAAAGGCTATAGCAACCTGTGAACATAAATAACAGTATGAATGAATACAATGCTCTTCAAGGGGGAAAACAAGGAAGTCAGATACAAAATTTTTTAGTATTATCATGCTGTTCTTAGCAAACTATTCATTATTTATAAAATAGCTAATAGTTGCATGGATAGTCTTCTGGAAAGTGCTATTTATTTTTGATAGCTAAGTTAAAACAAAATTGGTTTAAGAAAATTAAATGATAAAGGCAAAACAGAACAGATACAAATAAATGCATTCCATTTCTTGGAAATCTCTTTCAAAATAAAATTTAATAATTTGGTTTGAAAACAATTCACAGAAAAGACACACACAATTTAGTCATCTACTTTGGAAACAAGTGTTCTTATAAAGCTCATCTTAAAAGAACCACATGTGGACTAAAACGACTGCAACCTAATACCCATTTTATCCATTAATTACAATTTTTCTAATTCAGTCTCCATTTTACCACAGGTTTATTGTAGTAAGGATCTCCCCAAATCCTTTCTCCTCAAAATAATAGCAGTACATCACTGAAGCACCCTGGTATCTTCACAATTCCAAGTATCTAATTTCATGCCCCCAAATCACCTGTTCTAGACCTTTCTGGATGCTTACGTAGACCCTTCCCCTACACAGTAATGGACAAAATGGAAAAAAATGAGAGAATACTGGAATTTTTATTGTTCCCCTCTGGCAGAGGGCATCCGGGGATTAGAGTTATAAGCAACCTACTTGCGCAGAGGACAGCTGCGGGGAGTGCAGCCCAGACACACATACTCGGAGAAATTAGATTTGCAGTCACTAAAATCCAGGCAGGGAATCTTGTGCGAAGCACTTGTCTTTAGGGCTACGAAGGCTCCTAAGTGAACCAGGGTACTTGGCCAGTGCTAGTCTGTTCTAGGAAGCGAAAGGTTTGTACTGGAATCGCCCTTCCAGGCAGGCGAAAGAACCAGTGAGAGAGGGGGTGAGCAATTTTACCCACCTTCCTCGTGAACGACAGTGGCTAGTACTGGTTTCGTTCCCCTAGCAAAGACGGTCGACTGCGTTTTTAAAAGAGCAAGAGAGGCCGAACCTGTCGCTCCGGAAGTGATGTCATCAACACGGTGCCAGCGTCTCGTCGCCAGCGCCTGCTCCTATGGCCCTGGAGGGCGTCACTCTTAACTCGGTACAAACAAAGCGTAAATGTTGTTTTTGTCCGAGATGCAGTGCGTGCACTCCTGCGTTACTTTAGACTTACAGGTAGCAAGACTTTTGCAAGGTCACACGGCTTATGATCGATCTAGCGGAGGTCGTAGATTTGCCTGACTACACAGCGTTAAGTTCTAAACACTTGGCTACGTGAAAATTTTGTTTGCCTTTGGCTGGAATTTGGACGCCACTGTGAGGAAAGGATGGTGCAGATTATTCGTCATTCCATTTTAGAGGAACTATGACCAAATCTAAAGGTTGTTGCCCGAAATAGCTAATAGTTTCAGAAACGGAGTGGAAAGGAGGGACGACGCCACGGACCTACTTGTACACGGTTCCGAGGGAACGGAAGTGCTTCCGATCGGACTATCTAAACCGTCCCTCTCATTTTTTGGAGTAAAGGTGTGGGGCTGGCTCGTTTTTGTGATTAAAAAGGGGAAGGAGCTATGGTATATTCATTTACCATGAAAAAATTATATCCTATTTTCGCAATGCATTTCATGGTTTCTGCTTACTATGTACACAACCTTCAGGAAAATATGTACTCATTCTTGGACCTCCTTCAGTCTTTTTTTTCCCTTTCTTTTATTGTATGTGAACTTGTCATTTGTATGAATAGATTTATCCCAAGTCTTTCTTCTGCTAAAGTCCTGCTAGACTTTAAGGTTTTACTAAGCTTACTAAGCAAGGACTTAATATATGCAAGATTGGTTAAGGCTATCACATAAATCTCTCGAACGGCATGAAGTTCTTGGTATAGAAGATAAAGAAATCTCGGTCGGAAGTCACAGTTACAGTCTAGTGGTAGAAATATATACATTCATAATTACCAAAATGTTTATAATTTTTTAGGTGAAACATGTTTTCAAAATTTATGTGTGACAATAGTAACCATAATTAGCAATTCACTTACGTTGTGCCAGGTAGTGTCGCAGATTAATTTAATCCTCACTATAATCCCGTGAGGTAATTAGTTACTGTCCTCATTTTACAGATGAGGCAAATGGACCACAGAGTTTGATGATTTGCTGGTCACATAGCTAGTAAACGCAAAGCTGTAAGTTAGGCCATCTGGTTCTGGAAACTGTTTCCTTAACTTCTAGAAGATAAAGTAACACTTATTTCCCTAGGAAGTGTGTCTGAGCTAAAAAAAAAAAAAGGGGGGGGAGAAAAATTAAGACCAAAGGGTTAAGAAAAATTAGTTCTCCTAACTGCATATGATTGGTTAGAGATTATTTTCTATTATATGCTGAAATCTAGTCTGACCATAAAATCTTTCACATCTGGCATTTTCTTGCAATTCGGATTATGTTCAGCAGGTGTGTCACAATACCCTTCTGTGCAAGAATGTGTCAAGAGTTATCCCTTTTTTATGTGCTGGTATTATTGGTAGATTCCTCATCCAGGCACGTTTGCCTGGTGTTGAGTCTTAATGCTGCATTATGTGAAACAGCAAAACTCTAGGACACATTAGGAAGGAATTTTATTCTTCCTTAGATTGATGGCATGTAAGTAGCAGAAAGAAAAGGCACTTATACCAGTACCACATATTTGGCAAGTGAAGGTATACATTTTCCATGTTCTTTATTGTACTAGAGGAGAAATTATTGGTGGAAAGGCACTTATCCTCTCTGAGGCCTGCCTGGGCTTTCATACAGATCACATTATATGATTTGAATGCCACTGGTGGACATTCTCAAAGAAATATGGCTTAACTAATGTAACTTCCACTTGAATTTAGAATCAAAATATGCTCATTTTGTCTTTGCTATTGCCTGCCTAACTTGCCATTTTTAAGTTTTAGAGGAAAGTAATATATAGAAGAGTCTTTACAATAATTTCCTAATTACGTCTTACTAAATTGGATTTTATTTTCATTTGTTACTTATTTATTGGGTTCTTTCCTTTGGGCTACAAACTTCATCAGTTGTTAGGGATAAAAGATAAGATCCACTCCCTATATTCAAGGAATGGGGTCTAATTACAATACAGCATTATTGAAAGTGTACATTGAGAGTGGGGAGTTGCTTGGGGAAGGTGGTATAGCTTGCCACAGAGGTATCCACAGCTTAGCAGGACCTTGGTGTGATTACTGGGTTTCAACATCTGATTTTCTAGGCTTGAAACTGGTTTATCAGATTTGGAGGTGACTGGACTCTGGGGTGCTGAGGCACACAATCTGCTAAGAAACTGCTTTGTAAAAACCATATACTAAGGGGCGCCTGGGTGGCTCAGTCGGTTAAGCGACTGCCTTCGGCTCAGGTCATGATCCTGGAGTCCCGGGATCGAGTCCCGCATCGGGCTCCCCGCTCGGCGGGGAGTCTGCTTCTCCCTCTGACCCTCCTCCCTCTCATGTTCTCTGTCTCTCATTCTCTCTCTCTCAAATAAATAAATAAAATCTTAAAAAAAAAAAAAAAACATATACTAAGGTGTTAATTTATGAAAAATGTAATGATGAAGGAGGTAGGATACTTAAGCTTGCTGATCCTCACTTTCTCTGTATTGAGCAAATTACGGTGAAAGCCAGATCCAAATTATAACGAGAAGATTGTTTGGTAAATATGGAACGGAGGCAAAAGAAATGAGTTTGGTGCTTTAAATGGCTAATGTTTCAGGCCTGATGCATCTCTTTTCACCTGAGTCACCTGTTTTACATTCTTCATGGGTTGGATTGTGTTAAAAATACACTTACAAATATCTCTTTGATGTAGAAATTGTTTCATTAATGGTAATACTGTCAATTGGGTCTCATCCTTGGAAAATATTTGCTTTTTTTTCATTTGCTGAGCCATTATGCTTATTTTACAAATTTCAGAGGATTTATTTTATTGTGGTAAAATATATGCAACAGTATTTATCATTTTAACCATTTTTAGGTGTACAGTTTGGCATTAAGTTTACTCACACTGTTGTGCAAACATCTTTACCATCCATCTACAAACCTTTTTCACTTTCCCCCACTGAAACTGTACCCATTAAACACTAATTTATTTCCCCTTCCTGCCAGCCCCTGGAAACCACCATTATGTCTCTTACTAGTCTAGGTACCTCATATAAGTGGGATCATACAATATTTGTCCTTTTGTGACTGGCTTGTTTTACACAGCAATAATGTCAAGGTTCATCCAATGTGGTAGCATGTCAATTTTTTTTTAAGTGGAATAACATCCTTGTTTGTATATACCACATTTTGTTTATCCATAGACACTTGAGTTGTTTCCACCTTCTAACTATTGTGAATAATGCTTCTATAAACATGGGTTGCACAAATACCTTTTCAAATCCCTGCTTTCACTTCTTTTGGGTATATACCCAGAACTAGGTATATTGCTGGATCATATGGTAATTATTTAATTTTTGAGGAATCGCCATACCCATATGATCTTATTTTTCAAGTGTGTGGGGTCTGTGTGTATTTTTGGCAGAGGAGGGAGAGGGTGAATCTTTTTGTTGCTCCCATATAATCCCCAGGACTGTTAAGTACCATAATAGAAACATAGGACTTGATAATTCATAGGAGGAACAAATTTCTCAAAGCAGAATCACTGTATCAGGTTTTCTATAGTAGGTGGCATACTGGTATTTTCTCAGCAATGCCAGTTATGTCATCTGGCTTCTCTGTTCCTATTTAAAAAATTACAACATGGGAGCACCTGGGTGGCTCAGTTGGTTAAGTGACTGCCTTCAGCTCAGGTCATGATCCTGGAGTCCCAGGATCGAGTCCCACATCGGGCTCCCTGCTCGGCAGGGAGTCTGCTTCTCCCTCTGACCCTCCCCCCTCTCATATGCTCTCTCTCTCTCTCATTCTCACTCTCTCAAATGAATAAATAAAATCTTTAAAAAATAAAAAATTACAACATGATGATGCATACCTATCTTCTTTTTTTTTTTAAAGACTTTATTTATTTGACAGAGAGAGAAGCACAAGCAGGGGGAGCGGGAGAAGGAGAAGCAGGCTCCCTGCTCAGCAGGGAGCCCGATGCAGGACTCGATTCCAGGACCTTGGGATCATGACCTGAGCGGGAGGCAGACACTTAACTGACTGAGCCACCCAGGCGCCCCTTATCTTCTTGATAATACACTCAACAGTTTTTTGCAAAATCTGGACATTTAAAAAAATGCTGTCGATAGAAATTTATAACTACATAATTGGCAAGTCAGAAATTTTATATACTATAAAATTCCTGTCACATTTTTTAAAGAGTTCACTCTACAGTGTTAATGATGCAGTTTCTTTACTATAGTTCTTATAATTGAGAATTTATTTTTATCAATATAATTATACAGTTAGAGTGAACATAGTGATAAACTTGGCCTATCTGCTAAACTTAGAATTATATAGAAATTTAGTGCTACAGGTTGTCACTTCCATCATCATTAGTTGATTATCAAAGGCTTGAATGAGTCAAGAAATAGAATAAATTACAATGCTGAACATAGACTCCAAATATATTTCTACTAAACTATGTTTTAATTATGAAATATTTCAGATTGTGAAAGTGTCAAGAATACTATAATCAACTTCTGTGAACGCAACACTAATTTAAGAGTAATATTATTACCCAATACAGTTGAAGCCTACTGTGTACTACATAACTCAGATATTCAGTATTCTAAATTTGAGTTTATAATTCTCATGTGTTCATTTAAAGTGAAATGAAAAATTTTAAAACCCCATATAATAAACTACCTGCTGATTCATTTTTTTAACTGGAACTGAAATTAGGGAGTAAAATAAAAACCTAAGATATTTCATAACTCTTCTTTTTGACATTAGGCAAAATAAGGGAGAGTTTATCTTTGCTATTCTCTTACCTACCTTCCTTCCCTTCCCAGTGCTACTACAAACTTCCTTTTAGATTATTTTACTTAGACCTGTCTTCCCAGTACTGAACCTGTTTACATTTCCTACAGCCACATGTAATATGCATGTAATTGTTTTGAAAATTACTCTGTCTTGTTAGAAGCGTTACAAAACTGCATTGGTCTACACTGGGTTGCTACATTTGTCTTCTTCAGGATTAGCATGAGAGCATTTTGGGGCTTATTTACTGATGACATATTAATAAAGGAGATATAATATAGGTGAAATATATTGCATGACAATTAAGTTTCAATCTAACAAGATGGGGTTCCACAGGAAAAAGAAATCTTAGACTTGGTTTAATAAATCCATTAAGTATATGAAGGGAAAGCCATCATTTAAAGGCACTACATGTTGAACAGTTGAGGTTTTAGTGACTGTAAGGTGAATCAGTGATATGTGGCTGTTAAAAGAGCTAAAATCAGACTACATTAAAAAAAAAAAAAAGGATCCAGAACAAGAGAATTGGTACCACTGTAATGACATCACATCTTTTCACCTCTTGTAGTTAGCTCTAATACTATATAATAATAAACTGTAACTCAGAGCAGAATT